CCCCCCCCCAACTCCATCTAAAATATAATGAGCCCGAAGTTTCCACTTCACTGTAATACAGTCCTTCTCAATCTTCCTCTGTCTTGACCATTCCCATTTCTTTTTGGTTTGTATCGTCATGTCATTCATGTTTTTCTACATTAGAGAGCTGTGCTTTTATGAGTCGGAAAAATGACTCGATATCGTCACATAGGCCTGGCATAGGACTTTAGAATCTTTGCAACGGTTTGATAAGACTCTTCACTCTGACACGAATCAGATTGCAATTTTACTTGAATGAAAATACAAGCAGGCTTGCAACCGTCGTCTTGCGACCATTTTTCGTACCTGCAGTCTGCTGAGCGATGGTGTGTATTTGAGCGCAGAATCATATTTGGTAAACCAAACACATTGCTTGTCTGAATGTTTTCCTTAGGATCACACGGCTACAGTTCGTGAGTCCAAGGCCAGCCTCTAGCAAAAATCGTCGTCACACGTTTTAAGTAATCATGATAGTGTCGATAGAGTGCCTGTAGAGCGCGCGGACCAGGATAGATGGAATTGGCATGGAGATCATTTTGCACACCACAGGAAATCCGCGTCATCATCGAAAACAATTGAAGGGCTTGTCATTTGAGAGGCAGGGCAGGAAAAATGCAAATGAAACGTGAAACGTAATCCGACCTGCGGAATAACAGCATGTTTCACTGAAACTTCCGATCATTTCGCGGCTATCAAACTTTGGGTGCCAAATTTTCATGTACCGTCGCATGTGCTAAAATGTCGACGGCGCCAGTCCATTTCTCTTCTTTAACCCCTGCAAAATGCCGCGTACTATTCCTCATCGTCCTTGTTCTGTGTTTAGCCAGAAGTGGCTCAACTTGCCCGGAGAATTGCCTCTGCTACCGGACACAAGCCGGGCCGACAGTTCGCTGTAATCACCATTCTCTGTCAAGAATACCAAGTGTCCCTTCATCGACAGTTGTCTTGTAAGTAGACTGTAGATAATGGTTGTCGTTTTACACGCGTGCAAAATGTTCCTCTTATATATATAACAAAGAGTTAACTGTTTGGCCAATGGCATATTCATTATTTATTTAGAAGGCTTTGGAGGGATTTAAACACTCAGTTGATCTCCCATATCGCGAAGCAGTCAAAATTCAAGTCCAGTTGGGTTTCTTCCAAATAAAATAACCGATAGCTTTGCTACTCAATAATTTCTTTGCGTAGAGCATCGCTGGGTTCTAAAGTTTATTTCGTTGAAAAATAACATCCTGGGCATCAAATGCGATGGTAAATCTTCGTTTATACTGCCATCGAAAGCACAACAGACCCGCGTGCCCATATTATAGTAAGCGCTTGAATGAATTTCTATCCTTCCGGAACCAAGTCTGGACTGTCCGAAACCAGAAGGAGCAGTCTGCAACGAGACGCTCTAATGCAGTTAATTCATTAAATTGTCCTGCACACGACGGTCTCGGTAAGCATACAAACATGACCGAGGTTATTTTCGCCAGACAACCTTTCTGACATTTGGGGATTGGCATTTCAATACCACTGACGCCATGTTTATCCACTCGAGTGATTCGGTCACGTCTAATAACTGTCCATGTAGTATTTATCGACGATTTAATTAACTGTTCCCTCACGCTCAGCTACCGACCAATTAACCAGTGACATCTCTCGGTATAATGAAACTTGTTTTTAACTATAACATACTCTATTTAAATTTTACCGTATCGCGTTTTGTCGCGAGCGCCGTTGAATGAAATGTTGAGTGAAAGTATTTCGTGACCGTGAAAAAAGTAAAGGAAGATGTTTGCACCTTTTGTCATTTCCGAAACAATTGTTGGAAATATCGCAAGAAATGCGGACATATCTTTTCATACTTTAATATAGTGGCTACAGCAACGAAGAAAGAAGTCTTGGTAATTTATTCATGCGATATTCTGTGACATGCGCCTTTTATAATGTAAAGAAATTTATATCAAGTACACCTCGCGAAAATAGTCACTTTACGATGTAGGTTAATTATAGTCTAAAGGTCTGAAGTGGAAAATAGGATGATCTAAATCCACGTTGAGTTTAAAATCGTTTCGACACACCCACGCGTAAGTCTCTCTAGTCGACCAGTGAACTACCCAGGCCATAAAAAATACATTTATCTCTCCTCCTCCGGAATTGCTTTCGAACGAAACAAGTTTCTATTCATGGCGTTTTTTTAGAAACTGTAAGTTCCTGTGGTCGAATACAGACGACTTTCAAAAGTTCTGGCCAGTTTTATCATTGTGATGAAAAGGTCATTCAATTCTTCAGTTACATTGGGTTGCCTTTTCGTAGGTATATACACCATAACAATGGCCTTTATCTCTTCCAGATTTAAATGGAAAATAAATTTGACCAAATGCCATTTCCGGCTGACTTCTCTTGTCCCCTTAAATTTGACAGTAAGCTTGCATAGATAAGGAGAATGCTCCCTCTAGTCGACCAATGAACTACCCAGGCCATAAAAAATACATTTATCTCTCCTCCTCCGGAATTGCTTTCGAACGAAACAAGCTTCTATTCATGGCGTTTTTTAGAAACTGTAAGTTCCTGTGGTCGAATACAGACGACTTTCAAAAGTTCTGGCCAGTTTTATCATCGTGATGAAAAGGTCATTCAATTCTTCAGTTACATTGGGTTGCCTTTTCATAGGTATATACACGCTATAACAATGGCCTTTATCTCTTCCAGATTTAAATGGAAAATAAATTTGACCAAATGCCATTTCCGGCTGACTTCTCTTGTCCCCTTAAATTTGACAGTAAGCTTGCATAGATAAGGAGAATGCTCCCTCTTTAAAAGATTTCTAAATTAAGATTTCCTTTGATTTGGAACTAGTCTATACGTTGGACGTGCAACGGTTGATACACTTTGGCGACATGAGCAGTGGATAATGAGGTCGACAGTGGTCAAATAAACATCGCCTTGTCGCGTCGCCGGTATGAGTTGATTATCAGATCGAACATTACAAGGATGATTTAGGTAACCACATGCAGTTTTCATTGACGTTTCGAGTGTCAGTGGTGCCCAGCGACACTGAAACAGTTTGGAGTATATGTAGCTTTGTTAAATCCTATCTTTTGCCGTCCACTTATCTTTTCCTCTCTTTGGGGACCGTTCATTTTTTATGAGGGGGTGGGAGCTGGTGGGATTTGGGAAGCACCATTTAAAAATCGCATGACCCCCCCTCAGCTTACCAATTTTTTCACATGGCCCCCCTTATAGCGGTCATTTTT